AATATAGAGTCACATGTTGGGGGGAGAAACATCCACTCATCAGTCAGCAGGAATGGGGAGGGTCTGACTTGAGGGCTATAACTGGCTTCATTATGCTGTTTTGTCTGTCCCCTCTCAACACTTCGTTTGGGCATCCCTTGGATTTACAATAATATGAAATAAAGAGCTTTAGAGAAGTGCAAGGGTATCCATGGTTTGTGTGTGTGCATGCGTGTGTGTGTGTCAAAAAAGTAAAAATGGTAGCTGCAATGATGTGATTGAAGCTTCATTCTTTTTTACACGTGTTGTGACTTTAATCTCATAATTGTGGTGCCCAACTTTACTGGGGGGGGGGGGGGGGGCTGCAGATGCCTCTGGAGAGGAGCAAGGCAGGTCCTGTCATAACTGTGTCACTAGGAAGGGCTTGTAGAGCAGGACAATTGACACTTACTAGCTATTGGGTGGGGTGGGGGAAGAGTTATTAAAACTGACAAATACAATGAAAGTGGCAAATAAGAACCCCCCCTTTTTTTTTCTCTCTCTCTCTCCAAATGAAATAGTGTATGTTGAGGTCTGCTCTCCTTCATATTGCTGGAAGTGTGGAGAGAAGCTGGGGTCAAAATTAGAGAGTAGGGAGATAATGGGTCTGAAATTAGGGAAATTAATTGTTGATGAAGAGAAAAAAGATTAATAGATTGGGGGGAAAAATGACTAATGGACTGTCCATGGCAGAAGAAAGGCAGCTTTGAAGGCAGCTTTCCATTTCTGTTGTCTTTGCTGCTTCACCATACACAAAAAAGAGAAGATGAGAGTTGAGATCTACAGAATTTCCTAGAGATTCTCCAAGATCTCCTTTTCAAGTGTGAGCAGGCTACAGCAACAGGTGCAACTGCTCTAAGAAGGGTGAATTCCATCTTGTAACCAAGAACTAGTGTCTAAGTTGGAGTTTTTCCCTTGCAAAACATGTAAAAAGAGGGGCAGGGCATAGCAGTGGTCACCATCCTGACATTTTTGACCATCCCACCTTCCCATGGACGTTCCAGACAGATTTATATTACAGTAGTTCTGCCTTAGCAATTTAATCATTTGGGTGAAGGGGGAACTTGTGAGACTAGGCTGAAGATGCCATCACTAAAGATGAAGAGGCACGTAAACTGAGAGGACAAAAGGCCAGGAATCTTCTCTAAAAGATGCCTTGGGGAGGTAGTTAAAAAGGAAACAAACTGTTAAGGAAACGAAGGAAAAAATCTGACCTGAACCAGACAAAAGAAGTTGGGCCTGAGCACATGGAAAAAACCCCAATTCCAGCTATCAACAAAGCAAGAACTTTTGGAGATAAAAAGGGGTCTTGAAGCCTGCCCACTCCTTGAGTCGTCTTTGGGTCTAGACTTGGCAACTCCCAATCCTCTAGCTCGTGCATGGCAGCCTAGTTGAGAAGGACATGGGTAAGTGTGGATGAGTGTGTGTGTTTGTGTGTGTGAGAAAGAGCAAATGTACACTGTAACCAGTAAAGTTTTACTGTTACTTTAAATTCACTGGGTCTCCATGTATTCCAAAGAACCTGTTGTGCTTCAGTGTTTGTTTGAAAGTTATTGTTGTGTGTTCCTAATTATTTTCTGACTGTTGACCAGAACGGTGTGTCTTGCCTACTCTAACCACACCTATCTGGAAAACCCAGGTAGAAAGCAAGTGGGACTTACAAGATCCGCATGCCTCAACAGGCTGTGAGTGTGTGTGAGTGACCAAAAGCCGAACCTGGGAACGTGTGTAACAAACCTCACAGCTGCAAGACTTCCTCAATCTGGTGTCTTTGGGACATGCTGGACTAAATGGCCCATAATTCTCAGCCAGAGCCAGAAAATATATTCAAAGGTTTAACTTTAAAAATTCCTGAAATCCCTGCATTGAATAAAAACCTAGACTGGAGGGTTACCCATTTCTCCCTTTTTTCACTGCAGACATTTCCTGTTCCTATCACCACCGGACAGAGCAGAAACAGGATTAGGAACTGGCAGATCCCAGCAGCCTTTTGAGTTTTTCAAGGGCAGAAGAAAGCTCAGAATTTTTCTGAGCCTTCACATGGGCCTGGAAGAAGAGTTCTTGAATTTCCAGATTAATTCCAAAGTTTGGGAGACTGACTTGTCTTGAGACTTACTCAGAATTGTTTTGCATAGAAAAGAACCATCCGGGAACAGCCCTGTAAATGCTTTGTTTGGGATCCTAAACTAATTCCCAGAATTATAGTTCCGAGCATCCTTGGGCAGAGACAGTGCCATTAATCCTGTTTCCATCTGTAATGTAAATAAGCTTTTAGTTTCACTTTTTAATTTCACCAGTGAGATGCAGAGATAAACAGTTGTAGGCTGTAATGGTATGTGGGAAAGGCCTTGGAAAACTGGGCACAGAGATGCTGCCAAGGGAATGGTCAGATAAGAGAGGGTGTAGCCCACAGCTGGACAGTGAGAAGGACAAAAGGTTCAGAAGAGACCCTCCCTAGTTTCTCGGGCTATAAAGGAGATGGGGCGGGGAGGATTGTACTTTCAGATGTGAAAGGTTCTGTTAATGTAGTTTTACAATAAAGTAGAATTAGCTCATCTGGTTGTGATTCCTATCTGGTTTACCCTGCAAGGCCGACATATGCTAGTTGGTAGCAACTAAAATGCTGAAAAAAACCATCATTGATTAGGATGATTAATGTTTTTATTAACAGTTTTGTTAAGGTGTTTTCACATTTATTGCAATGATAAATCTGCATTTGTTCCTTATTTGTTGCACGTAGCCCCACCTTCAACTGTGGGAAAATTATATTTTCTGACCGGAACTTGGACAATAGATTCCTTTCATTGCTTTTGTGACTCCTATGGGGAATTTGATTGTGTCTATGTTTGTGGGCAACAGAGAAGGACATAAGCCAGTTGGATATTTTTAAGACTTAGGCTTCAATCTACTATGTACTTATTCAGAAGATCTATTGACATAGTAAAACTTATTTCTGAATAGACAGAAATAGTCATGGAAAGGATCGCACAGTTGATCAGTTAATCTCTTTCAAGTGAAGCTCAACTACTAGGACTCACACAGCTGGATTGACAATTCTCTCTTTCTCTCATGGAATCATAGAACTGTAGACTTGGAAGGCACCACAAGGATTATCTAGTCCAATAAATCCAATAAAACCATTCATGAAAGGTGACTGTCCAGCCTCTTCTTAAAAACCTCAAAGATGGAGAACCCCCAGTTTCCATAAGTAGACTATTCCACTTTTACACTCATGTTCTTGGAGGATTCAATATATATATTTGGAAGTTGCATTGCCAATGGACTACTGTAACAAGCTCTACATGGGGCTGTCCTTGAAGAGTATCTGGAAGCTTCAACTACTACAAAATGAGGCAGCACGGGTGGTTATGTGTGCTCCTAGAAGAGCACATATTGCATCTCTGCTCCATGAGCTGCATTGGTTTCCAGTCTGGATCCAATTCAAGGTGCTGTTTTTGACCTTTAAAGCCCTACATGACATGGGTCTGGGTTATTTTAAGGACCGCCTCTCCATGATTACATCTATCCATCCCATTAGGTCCAGCAAGAGAGGCATGCTACAGGTCCCATCTGCTAAGGAATTCCATCTGACAGGACCCAGGAAAAGAGCCTTTTCTGCCCTGGCACCCACCCTTGGAACATCATTCTCCCCCACCCCGCCCCACCCCCGAGGTGAGATTAGCTTCAACCATATTGGCCTTCTGGAAATCTCTTAAAACATTTTTTTTTTCACATGGAAATAGGGAGCCCACAAGATGGTTGTATTGAATGTTAGATTTTGGTGTATTCTCCTGTGATCTTACTTATATTTTATGCTCATTGTTTTTAATGGTTATTTAAGATTTGATTTAATTGTATGTTTTATTGTACGCCACACAGAGTCACGTTAGTGAGATGGGTGGCTATATAAATTTGATTGATAAATGAATAAATATGTGTGGAAGCATCTGGATAACATTATAGAAATGAAGTACAGGATTAAAGCCCAGAAAATCAGCTCTCAAATGCATTACCTGGTCAGGCATATTTGACACTTAATTTATTTATGTCTATTTTTTACATCAGGCAAAAGACTGATTAATATAGTCTTAATTTAACTGTTATGCCTCCATTGAGATTTTTAAATATGTATTTTTTTTCTGCTGTTTTACTTTTTAGCTCCTTAAAAATGGTTACTGGTTTCACGTTTCAGATTTTCAGCTGCTGTTTTTAGTTTCATTGTTTATATAGTGATTAAGAAAGGAGTCCAAAACATTTGTTTTGAAGGGAAACATTTTCTAAATCGAAAAATATGTTTCTTATTTGCAGGCCTTTGTAGCAAAGGCTAGAATATACCAGGGTTGGGTTTGATTGTTTGTGTGAGAAATTTACTTGGAAAGGCAAGTAGTTAAGAGGAACATGTGTGAAGATATTAAGCAAATGTCAGCATATAAAGTTGAAGGTCACAATATGCTTTGCCCCAGTTGACATAAACTTTCAGTATTTTTCTATTAATAGTTGCACAATAAGGCAAAATTCACAAGAGATAAGTTACTGGAAGGAGGTGGTTCAGTGACAAAAATTGAGAACAGAGGTCTTCAAGCCATTCAGATTTAGGATATTGGTCCTCCCAGTCATGCCCACTGTAAAGGCATAGGGGTAAAAGGTGAAGACTCTCTCCTCTTGAACTTGACTCCTGGTGAGAATCTGGTCACCAACATGTTTGGTGCAATTATTTTAAGAGTGGGACGAAAAACTCTATGGCCACTTTCGGCATGCCCTCCATGATTTTGTACACTTTCCTTTTTTTCCAAGCCAGGTCCTAGACATTCTAGCCTTTTCTGATAAAGATGTTCCCTGATCATTTTGGTTGGCTTCTTTTGCATTTTTTCCAGCTCTGCTATATCCTTATTCAAATGTGGTGACCCAGTGCAGATGTACCATAGATTTGCATAACAGCCATATGACGTTTTATTTTCCATCTCTTTCTTAATGATATCTAGCATGGAATGTGCCTTTGGCCCAACTGAGTGTACTTCTTCATATCGCTATGAAGCCAAGGTCCTGGATTTCCCTGACATTATTAGTGGATACAGTTCTATGAAAAAGTATTTGCCCCCCTTTGGATTTTCAGTATTTTTGTACATCTCTGCTGTGGAATGTTATCAGAGCTTCATGTAGAAAAAGCACCTGAATAAACAAATGACACATGTTCTTCAAGAAGTACAGAGTTTCAACTCTGAGAAGAAAGCCAATGAGTTATTTCGCAAATCATCAGTTGCAAAACCATTGGTTGCAAACCACTGATTCCAAATTGTGGAGAAAGTGGAGCACTGTTCCAGTAAAAAGGTAAGCTTATTAGAGAATCAAATTCCTGGTTTAGATCATTCAACTGACCGGCATTTTCACAGGCTTTCTATTGGTTGGTTGTTGCTTTGACAGTTTCTAGAAAGACCCGCCTTTCCAGGAATTGGGCACGCACAGAAGTGAGAATCATTTCCCAACTACAGTTAGTCCTCGACTTACGATGGCAATTGGGACCGGAATTTCCATTGCTAAGCGATGTAGTCATAAAGCGCGATCATATCACTTAGTGATGGCAATCCCTGAGGTCCCAGTTGTGGGACGGGGAGACTTACCCCAATGATTTGCGATCTTCCCTGCCGGTCTCCCCTTTGACTTTCTGGGGAAGCCAGCATGGAAGGTTGCAAATGGCGATCATGTGGTCATGGGGCACTTGGCAACTGGCTGTAAGTGCGAACAGGTTGCCAAGTACTCACATCGCGATCAAGTGACCACGGGGGTGCTGAGATGCCAGAACTCCAAGGACTGGTCATAACCACCATTCATTTAGTGCTGTCATAATTTCATTGAACAAATGGTCATAAGTTGAGGACTACCTGTACTCAATAAATGTCAAAAGCACCAAAGCGTGTACTTTTTGTTGTTGGCTTCATGCCTATGTTTTTGTTTTTATTTTTTTGGTGAATGGCACAAGAGAAAATGTGTTACTTAGCCTTACATTGATTCAGTCAGGGGCAGAAAAGTAAAATCTTGTCTTGATCCAATTAGGAATGGAAAATGGTCTTAGGGGAGACTCCTTGCCTTGATTCAATAAAGAATAGAAATATATCAGTGGAGAATATTTGCAACTGGGCTAATCTTACCCAGTCCAGTGGTTGTTAATAAATGAACGAGAGTTTGTTGGGGGATGAATGATTTGTGCTTGTGCAACTTTTAGGTGTGCCTGGAAGAAATGCTTTATTATTCTTTACACATCAAAATCTGGTGCTTGTTTCATTTATTTCATAAACAAAGTCATCTAGTATGTGCCAGTGTGGAAAAGTAATCACCCTCCCCCCAGTCAGTTTAGCTAAAGGCTAACTAGGGCCGTTTATATGAATATTAAACAATCAGGGCTGATTTGAACCAGCATTGCACTATATCAACCTCAAGAAGTTTGGCTGTCATCACAGTGAAGTTCTCACTGCACATAATCTAGAGGCTCACGTGCCCCATTCAAAAGAATTTATGAAGATCTCCATGAAAACTTAATTGATATCCTTGCACGACTCCATGTTTTGTATCTTTCTACTGAGAAAATTGCCCAAAATTGCTTATAACCTATTAGCAATTTGTAATTGGTCACACCATTTTATCCCAGAAGAAATTTTGGCAAAGAGTTTTTGAAGAACAAAGTATACAATTATCTGGACCCCTTTCAGTCAGGTTTCAGGCCCAGATATGGAACAGAAACACATTGGTTGCACTTACGGATGATCTCTGGTGGGGGTAGGATGGAGGTGGTGCATCCATCCTGGTTCTCCTTGACCTCTCAGCAGCTTTCAATACCATCGACCATGGTATCCTTCTGGACTGACTCAGGGAGTTGGGGGTGGACGGTGTAGTTTTGCGTTGGTTCGCCTCCTTCCTCCAGAGCCAGTCCCAGTCAGTGTTGATAGGGGAGGAGAGATCGGGCCCGTGGCCCGTCCTTTATGGGGTGCTCCAGGGTTCAGTACTCTCTCCTCTCCTTTTTAACATCTACATGAAACCGCTGGATGAGATCATCCATCTCCACGGGGTGAGGTATC